CAATATGTCCGACTTGCCACTCAAATATATCACGAGCTTTATAAATACGGCGGATTAATATATAATCTTGGGACATTGACATTAACATTAACAGAATACTAGAGCGTAATATGATAAGAAATATATCGACCGAGTGGCAAGTACACCGAATGGGGCTGCAATTTGTTAAATGTAGTTGTAGCGTTGTCAATTTAAGATTCAAAGCGCATTCAGGATAACGTAAGCAACGAGCAGACGTAGCCACATGTGAAAAAACGAATTGTTCCAAGTTCCTCAAGTTTTAATAAATCACTCGATAATAAGTTGGTAATTGTGTTTTTCTAACCGATATTTCGCAAGCTCTGTGCACACGTAATTTCATGCTGCTCTCTTCCGATTAATCCAAGACGTCTTGTGTTGAATGACTGTCCGTTATTAGAGATTAAGGCAGCTGATTATAATGGAGTCCTTGCAGAATTAGCAGGATCGAAAACTCGGTAGACAGTGTGGATAAGAATGGATTACACGTGTGTGTGTGTGTGTGTGTCGCGTGAGCCCGTGATTAACAAATATCTAACGGCAATTCCTCCAGCAGTAATAATAATGAATTCAGAGACCACGAATCTCATTGAGTCCCACGTTTCTTTTGAAGATCCAATCGACATCGTATAATACCAAGTTTCATAGACTATTGATAATTAGATTTAAAGGAGGTTAATTCAAAATTATTGATCGATCGACTGCTCTTTAATTCGTTAATTCATCTACAAGTACAAAATTCACAATTAAGCATATAATGCAGGTGGTAAGAATTTTACGAGAAGCTCATTGGTTAATGCTAGTGTTGAAGAAAAAAAAAAACAACAACAAAAATTTGTAATTAGCATTCATGAATTTACATGAAAAATATAGTTATGGCATATCAAAGTAGAAAAAAGTTGAATTTGATTAGGTGATACATTTTTATATTGCTCCGTTGATACGCAGTGAAGAATTATTTTATTTTTTTTATTTTTTTATTTTTTTTTTTTTAACTTTATTTTAATGCATATTTTCATATACAGATTTACCGCAGATAGTTATTTATTAAAGTTTATGTAAATATAAAAAGTTCATATATCCGTTTTTGCCGCGTTCTCGCATTTCTCGAACAATTTTTTTTTTTCGTTTGTTTTTTCAAACTCAAATACTTAATTTTTTTTTTAATGAAAATGTATTAGTCAAACAAACTTCCCTCGCATTTAATCGTCGTCCATTCACTCGCTCTTTCTTTATATATTCTTAGGTGCTCGTTAACTCTGTGTTAAAAAGGTTACAATCACTTTTACATTTGCTATCTTAAATATAAATATTATAAATTTTATTTGTTTATAACTTTTATTTGTATCGTGGTTTGGCCTCGATTACAATAATAACCTTATTAGCTGCAAATGACGTTATTAATTTTTTCCCATACGTTTTTCAGATATAATGTGCGTTTAATCGTACGTAAAAGAAAAAAAAAAAAAAGAAAGAAAGAAAAAAAAATGTAAAAGTACTAGTTAGAAGAATCAAAGTAAATCGAATATCCTAACTTTTGAGGTTCTATCGCTCACCCTCTTCTGCGTGCGTCCCCCTCTCCTCTTTTCATCATCATCACCACCACCCCTCCCCTACCCCCGCCTATGGATCTTTCCTACTCAAGCTGCCTTTCTCTTCTATTTTCTCTATTTCGTACTAGCGTAGTGATAAATGAAAAAGGTTACAGGCTGGAGCGCGATTTGCTGGCGGACCTTTCGATGCGAAAATTTCTCGCTCGCTTGCAGCTTCAAACGACATTCGTACTCCAATTTTTTTCTTCCAACTTTCCGTTTTGCAGCTTCGTACACGTTCACGCATACATGCCTTTTTGGTTCGCTGTTTCACTTTTTTGTGTGACGTTCTGTCGATTCTGTCGCGTACTTTTCTATTTTCTCTTTTCTTTCTTGTTGTTCTTTTGTTTTTTTTTTGTTTTTTTTTTTTTTTTTTTTTTTTTTTTTTTTTTATTTCTATCGTTGCGTTTTTCGACACGCAACATCGGTCGGATTGATCTATTCCACTTTAGAAGAATGCACTGCTCTAGGATTGAAAAAAATTTCACATCCAAGTCCACGGAGGCTTTTAACTATTTTGTAAGAGATGAAAGTGCTTTTTTAAAAATATTTTTAATTCTTAATGTTAATTAAATTGCTCGATGTATTTAAAAATTTTCAAGTATTCTTTCGTTAAGAATTTACTTACATGCAGCATTTATCCGATGCCACGATGTTGCACAAAATTTCTTTATTATTAAATGAAAGTAAGTACGTATTAGCCAGACGTCAAATTATTCACAGAACCAATAGGAATATATGTGTTATCTCAAGCGGTTCACGAAAAATCATTATGCTGGCAAATAATACGCGATAAGATAAATATACGTGATAGAGTGCGAGCATGTCCGTTCGTCGCTGACTACGTCGCTCTTTCTAAGTAATGCACGTAGAAATTACAATTATCCCGAGCACCTCGTCACACTTTCAGCCGCTAATAAAATTGCGAAGCAACGTCTCCACTTATCTGTAATTTTACAACAGAAACAACTGGCCAAGCGTAATTGAACAGCAAATAACGACGATCGACCAACACGCACCGAATTTATCATTCAAAACGCGTCGCACGAGGAATATGAAAAATTTTTACATTTGTACAATCGAACGTATGACAACGTACGTATTAGATTCTTCTATAAAATAAAGAGAGAGAGAGAGAGAGAGAGAGAGAGAGAGAGAGTAAAATAAAGTACGCTAGATCCATATAAAATTCTATTTATGTGCCGAGCGGTCCATAGGAAGCGTATAAAATCGTCTGGAGTCTTTGCAGTGCAAAAATCATCATATTTCTCTCACGCGATAACATTAAGTTGAAAAAAAATTCGTCCGTCTACGGCTACGTGCCGAATATACATAAGGAATAATGGACTTGGAATTTTCTCCCCCTCTTTTGCAATCGGTACCTGTTCATCTGTCTCGCAACGTGAACAAGTCAGTCGTCGCACGCTTGAAGGAACTTCTTGCGCCAGAGATAAAACCCTTAATCTCGCGAAACTCACTTTCTCTTCTCCGTCTCTGTCTCTTTGTATTTCCTTTCCTTCGTCTTCTTTTTCCAGGGAACTTGCTAGGAGCTCGTTCACTTTACGTGTGAGATTCCCAGATCGTCGAGCCCGAAAAGCATAAGTTAGCACAAACGTCGAGCTCTTAAAGGAAGTGTGACTTTTAAAACTTTTCCCTCTGATTTCCCTTTCTTTTTCTCTCCCTTTTCAAGACACTGTTGTACTCATTAATTAAACCTTTAGTCGCGCGATGCATTGTAATTAGTGCGAAAGTAAAGTAAGACACGGGAATTTGTTATTAAATTTCTTAGTGCAATAAATTAAATACAGTGTCCGAAAGTTCGATAAAAGTCCGTGTATATACGATACAATATGTATGCGCGCGCGCGTGCCTGTGATGTATACATATATATATCACACGCGCGCACACATTACTTCGTACTTAGGATATTAATAATTCTGATATATTTCAAAATAAGGTTGGATGAAGAAAAAAAATTTTGTTTATTTGTCTTCCTGTCTTTCTCTAATATACGGTAATATTTTCATATAATAATGCAGCTTATTTCGATTACAATAAAAATAATATAATATACATGATAGTCATATTTCCTGAAGAAAAAAAAACGCGCGCGCATGCCCTAAGTGATTACACTGTCAGGGATGAAAAAGTTACATTGAAAGTGCAAAATTCATTTTCTGCATTATCAAAAAGAAGAAGAAGAAGATGAAGAAGAAGAATAAGTAGAAGAAAAAAGAGAAAAGAAAAATGGCGGGAGGGGTGAGGGAAGGGGAAGAGGAAGAGGAAGAGGAAGAGGAAGAGGAAGAAGAAAACGGATACAAACACGGCAGTGGTTGAGGTTCAGGACTAGAAAGAGAGGGAGTGCAGCCCGGGCAAGTTATTCGAAC